TTCTTAGTGTTGGGGTCTGGGGATTTCCCAGTCAGGTAACTTTTGAGCATTATTTGCACATGACATTTTGACCAAGGTGAATTTATACAAAACGTTTCCTCCACGACACTCCCGTCGGCCGGAAGTGGCTTACATTGTATACAATTGTATACATTTGTATACATTTGTATACATTGGTCTTTGCACTTGCAAAGTATTGTTTTCGGAGACACTTCCCACGCTTGACCCCTGCAGCTCGGAAGCAAGGCCTGTTTGCTGCGATGGCCCCTTGTGGAATAACCTAGCTATCTGACGTTTCTGGTATTTTGGGGCCAACTTTAAGACGTCAGGGTAAGACTTATATGCTTGTTATCAATTCGTACTGAAAGTCTTGCTTTATTTGCTGTTTAAGTTGTTGACTTTCAGCGTGTGAAATGTATACGCTGCAGATAACTTTAAACAAGTATTTTTCTGTTTCTTTGTAGGGGTTTTTGTTTTTGTTTACTTCTTGTGATTGTAAGCTACTCCTCATACTGGATGTCACCGCAATAATCCTCAACTAATTGAGAGTAAATCCAGGAGAAGTGTCCTATCCAGTGATGGTTCAGTGAGCCTCCTATACCCTCTTAACTGGTGGACGGATCTCCCCTCCCCCCCCCTGACAAATACAGCAAGAATATATTTTGTGCAATTTCTACTCCTCTTAAATAACAAAAACCTATTTGACATTCCTTTTTTGGTTTTATTTTAGTGAAAAGTGCACTTCTTTATAGATTTACAATTTTCAATGCTTTGCAGGACAAGTAAGGGCGCTGTTGCTGTGATATCATTTCAGAAAGACACGGTTCACGTTAGGGTTTTTTGTTCAAATTGTGAACCCAAAAATTTGCTCATTGAAAAAATCTGTGATAAAATTTTGCCAATTGGCTTACTGCAATGTACCGACATAACGAATCACCAAAGAAAAGACAGTTTACTGCAGCAACATATCGGAAATTCTGACATCTTTGTGGTGCTGAAATAACTGTAACCTATGAGGTTTCTGCTTGAACTGACATCACACTTTTGCTCGTAATATGGAAAATTGCATAAGCATAAAAACCTTAGTAAAAAGGCGCCAAAATACCCCTGAAAATGGCAAAACAAAAATTAAAAATAAGAGTAATAGACGGGACACAAAGGTGCATTTGCAAGGATTGCATTAACAAAAAATACATTGCATAACGGACCCTTTAAAATACGGGAAAATCGCATACAGAAGAGCCAATTTGACCGAAAGCTGAACAACACGACGATATTTGAGCCACACATTAGTGCGATGAAAATGCCATGCCGACGTTTGACTTGTACCACGGCTGTTTCTGTTTAGTTTAGTCTTTCAAGAGAATGGATATTCCATTAAAGGAAGTGTAAGATTTTATCAGCAAACAGCCGCTGTCCATTCTTCATTTTGCAAATAACAAACCCGATGTCGTTTTTGTTTTGTCTGCACTGACATTTCCAGTTTAAAATTCTCAAAACATTTCAGCCTCAGCCTTTTTATTTTTGGCCGTATATTAAACGCAACGCGTGCGTGTCCGATTCCGGAATTTACGAAGAGGTGGGAGGGCACATCCAAAGACTGAAATCTTTCCAAACGACGTGCTTTCCGTCTCCCCCACAAACACTTGAGAACATCCTAAGTGTCTCGAGGGTTATTCACCCGAATCGGCCAGCCTTGCCAGTGCTGGTATGCGATTCGTATTGCCGGCCTGTCCTCCGTTTTTTGGTTATAAATGATGTCAGTTTGGTGTGGAGCGTGCTAAATGACCGCGAAAGCACACATCGGCGAGGGGGGCAAGGCGACGGGTGAGAGCCCCGAGTAAACGCCCCTGCCCGGGCGCGGGCGAGTCGTGAGACTGTCGTCCCCGTTATTTGTTCCGCCACTCTCGGCCCGGTATTGACTTGAGCAGAGATTCCACGATGACAAATTAGGTTCGTTGTATCGATTCCCGTGTCCAGTTTTTTTGCTCTAAGCGGAAGGAGTTGGGCAAATTGCAACTAAAAATAAAGCAAGGTCGAAAAAAAACATCAGCAAAAAGAAACGAAGACAGTAGAGGAAACAGAGAGCGTGCCTGCAGCTCCAATTTGTTGCTGTTACACTAATTGATTTTGTTCTTCACTTTGTAAAAAAAAACCCGCAAGACCTTCTTTTTTAACTGACAAAACATCGCTTTCGGCCATTCGACTAACAACGGCCGGTCAATTTATTACTGCATTTCACACAACGGTTCAACATTAAGATCCAGCCAGAGCCACATTGTCTGCCCAACATGTAGCCAACCATGTCAAATGTGTCAGCAAACTTGGGGAGCATTTCGAACTTGTGTTTAACCAGACAGCTTACTAGGAGACAACTAACTGGCCAGTGAGCCACTACACGGCAGCTACAGAAATGAGTCCGTCAACCGAATAATTCCAGCCAGTCACAACAGACCCTCACACATGGATATTCCGTAAGCCACTCTGGAAGCTACACCAGTGGCCACTCTTAAAGCCACTTTAAAAGAGTTACTTTGTAAGCCATGATGCAAAGCGCCCTGCAAGCCACGCTGCAGGCAAGACCCTCCACGAGCCACTTCGGAAGCCACTCCGCAAGCCACTTTGCAGGACAATACCGGGAGCCAATCCGCACATTACTCTAAAACCCGCTCTGCAAGCTATCTGAAAGCCTCCTCGCAAGCCATTGTGAAAGCCACTCCGCAATCCCGCTGCTAAGTCAATCCAAGTGACTCGGCAAATCGCTACAGGTCACTTGGCACGACAGCCTTTCAATCCCAGCCGACCTGCCAACCAAGCACCTTTCTTTTGACAACTCCCCCGACAGTCAATGCACGTCATGATTGATATCCCTTTTAACCAAGAAGCTGGCGCGTCTGGTCACTCGCGAAGTTAACTGAGCCTCATATAATGAACTATTCCATCAAAATCTGACAATTTAAGTCAAGAATGAAGAGAAAACAAAAGCCCCCGAGAGTTTCTCTCAACAGACCAATCATGATTTCCGAATACTACCTTATTGGGGCAAAGTCACGGTAAACATCTTTCGTTAGAGCTGTTTGATATCTAAAAGCAATATTACTTTTTGGTTCCCTCGAGGTCAAGACAGGTTGAAGTTGCATGTGTTAATAGAAACTGAATGCTCCATTCTTCAGGCGACAACAAGTGTTCAATACAGTATCTCGAATGATCTGTAACATCAGTGCGCTCACCTCGGCGAAAGCGTTATGCCCGATTCAACATATAGCTTTGTAAATCACGGAGACAGTTCGGGGAATAAAGGTGAAAGTTCGTCCACCTGACACATTATTTTGCCAGACAAAATAGCACAGACGTTATTCGTATACGTGCGTATCACAACAAGAAGTTCACGGAAACCAAGTAAATTGCTAAAATGGGAATATGTCACTTGCCGGTTTTAACTTAAAACTGGCGTTCAACTGAAACTATTAACAATTCTTGAGGCTTGTGCATCCGACACTGTGTTACTTTCGCTTTTAGCTGGTAAACGACCAAAACCAATTGATTTACCACCAAGCTCAAGCAAACGTCACTGGGTGGCCCTTTGGTCGGATGACGTGTATACATTTGTTTATGGTTATTGTTAGGTTATTAATGTCGACTCATGGTGTCTGTCCTACTTTAGTCGCATTTCAAGAATACAAGGAGACTACCTGGAAAATGTGATACTGCATGGGCAAGATAGAACGATCCAGGGCCCAATTTCACGGCGCTGCTAAGCACAAAATTTGGCTTAGCACAAAAACAGTCTGCTTATAAAAGCAAGTTACCAGCCAAAACTCCATGTGATTTTCATGCTAAAGCAAACAACAGCTGAATACTAATCACGAGCAATATACATCACGTGGAGTTTTGGATGGTAACCTGCTTTTATAAGCCAGACTTGTGTGTGCTAAGCAAATGTTTGTGCTTGGCAGCGCCGTGAAATTGGGGCCAGGAGAAGAAGACCCAGAACAAGACTGATCGATAAAATCAAAGGGCTAACTGGATGATCAGGGTCTGAGGTATAAGCTCTTTGATTGCAGATCGTCTTCCATGGAAAAAAGCATTGTTGAGGTCACACGAGCTGCAAACAAACGGGACCGAACCAACCGACCATTGTTGGGCTTAAATCGACTCAAATTGAGCACAGCACTCACGTTTGTGACGATGCGCGCAAATGATTCCACACTTGGTCGGCTCAAGTTCCTCGTCCTCATTTGCTTTTGTGCGATGTGAAAAAAGGAAACATTTGAACAATTTGTTCCCCTGACCCCTTTACTCTTGCTGTCTGCAAGAGGCACAATGCGAAAAAAACCCTCCAATGTCTTCGGATGAAAAGCGCATTTGGGTGTGATTTCTTAACACACCAAGCCCGAGGACCCGGACCAAGCATCTCCAATTCCCTCTCGTTTGCCGCCACTCCGATCAGTGTACGTAACAACCACGTACGAAAATAATCACGAACAAATTGAAGACGGCGGGAGAAATTAAGGGGTTGAAATGGAGCCGTCAACTTTATGAAAGGCGCGCGGGCCCGAGTACCCCCAGGCGCGGGTCCAACCGGCCGGCGCGGCGTACCAAATTTCATACCTTTTTGATTGGGAGCAGAAACGTGATACGTCGGCGCGGATATGGCATACCCTGTCCAGTGCCACCCAAAACCCGGGAATTTATTGCAAGGAGAAGTGCGCGCTACACAATAACTCTCCTGCGAGGGAAAAGAAGCGAAATCATAGTCCTCACCAACAGGTTTTTTTCTTTCTTCTTTATTTGGCCTGACACTGCCATCCCAGCATAATGTGTTTTGGTACATCGTATATTTTCTCTAGGTGTCTGAACTATCTCATTCAGTGCTCTGAAAAGGCCAAGGGCTCCGGTTTCAAAGCGCGTCAGAGCACGTTCTGAAGGGACGGGTCTGTTTCGCCCTCCTTATTTCCTGAAGCTAAGAGCGGAACACAGAGAGATGTCCACCTGAAGAGATGAACCTGGAAGAGACAGGGAGCGGGCATGTGGTGGACATTCATGCCATCAGGCAGATCCTCACAAAGAGCCTTACAATCATGACAGTCTCAGTGCAGTTTGGAATAATGGATCTGCGCTGCTGGATACAAATGCATGATTTCCTTGATCAACTGCCAATCCATATTCTTTCTTTTTTTCCTTCAACCTAAAAACTATTAAGACTCACGATACTCCGAAAAAAATGCTCAAGATGGATTTTTTTTCTTCTCATAGCTCAAGAATCACAACAGTCGATGTGAGCCCCTGGCCATTCAATCAGCATCGAATGAACAAAAATAATTATCTAAAGGTTTTTCAACATACGCCAGGAAACGGTTGACATGCCAAATGAGCCCAAAATACAGGACATACCATTAATTCAGGCTGCTGAGGATCGTAGTCGGTTAACCTATTTTTTTTTCTGGCCAATGATGAATGCAATTTTTCCGTTTCATTTGCAAAGCATTCATGATATATGCGAACATTCAAAAAAGAAACTGGTATCAACAACAAAGGACTTGAATAAAGACCACCCGTCATTCTAAAGTTAGCCTGAAAATCGCTGAGCTTAAGCGCAGTTTACTCGCTGTTCTGTTGGCGTATTGCCTCAAGCTCAAGTCGCACAGTGACAAGATGTGTAGGCACGTAGCCCCAGGCTTAAGTAACACCACTGCGCCTGCAGGCCGCTTCATACTTCATGCGAATGCGATGCGAATTTGACGTCACGAAGCATTCGCTGTGAAATTCGCCGGAGTTGAAATGTGTTCAACTGTTACACATTTCGCAACGCCAAGACTCGCCCTGACGTCACAAATTCGCTTTGCGTTCGCTTTCGTGCCGAGACGAGTGTGAACCGGCCTTTAATCCGCTGGGATTCGTCAAAAATAATTCATTACCAAGTCGGCAACACTAACCTCTCAAATCCTCGCCCGTAGATTGGGTCGTGATTAAAATGGCAGTCGATGAAAATAAACACGCTCGACTCGCTGCTCGCACATTCTTCAGTTGTTGAAAATTAATAAATATTACCCCGTGGGTTTTTACCCAAACCAAACGCATTCCTAAATAGATCACCTCCCTCGCAATAGATCGGAGAGTTTTAATCGAGCGACAAAGGCGGCTCATTTGAAACATTTTTGGTTTGGGAATTTCTCGAGTACGCACCCTCGAACTAATTGACACATGAAAATGTGCCTTCGCAAACGGCGGTACGCTGCGGTGCGGTTGATGTGAGGCGTCTGGAAAAATTTATGGCGAGAACTTAAAGATAAGGCCCGGTCATTTTGAGAGTTATTCTGCCCATTAATTACCCACCGCAGCAAACAGTGTTGAATCGCAATCGACATCTTCAGGATCAATGTTTTCTAATTTCATTTCATGACTTACTCCAATCAATGCACGATCGATCCACAAGGATCATCATTTACGGGAACCAATTTCAATAAGTGAGCCATTATAAATTTTTGGTCAACCTACATATTTACTATTCAACGAAGGTCCATTGGCTCATCAAATCAACGTACCTTAATAATGAACTTACAAATGAATTGTGGTTGAGAATGTCAGTGAGGTGTTATTGGAAAACAATTCGTCTGTAATAGCGAAGTGTATAATTTTTATTCAGTTTGTCTACAAAAATCTGACGTCCATTCCAAATCGGCGGGTAATATTTGCTTATTACACATTCCGTGAAGGGAATTCTAATATCCATATAGATATGGTATTTATATTAATCTAGCTTTGAACAATTTGCCCGGAGCGCATCTACAATGAATAACAAGCAACAGGTTCCGTATATGGCTTTACGGCTTTAAAAATGGGGGGGGGGGGGGGGGGAGAGGGTATCAATTGCAAAGAGAAATTCATTACAAGCGCGCATCCCTTCCAATTGTGTGCTCTCATCATTCCCAATTCTATCCCATCCTGAATAAGCGGCTGCCCTCTCTGATGCCATCAATCAATCAGTCAGCCGCTCTATTATTGGTGGAGAGCCGCTCACCGCTTTCCCGCCCAGCCGCGTGACAGCTACCTGCCTCAGGCGCCCTCTAGCGGCCAGTTTGTCACGCATAAGGCCAGGCGCGGGATAACAACCCCGCCACTGCTTTATAAAGACGTACGGTCGCAGTGCGCGAGACTCGTCACACGAAACCGTCGTCACATTAACGCAGCTCGCACGGGCGAGAGCTGCTGCGATCGGCATGATGTGTAACACTACAGATCCGGCCGCTGCTGGCTGCCAACATCTCGCTATGCCCAGCGACACGGGACTCGAATTCAACCCATCCGACGGACCGACGCAGCCGAGTTACATAATGGACTTAGATCCTTTGGCGTCGAGTTCTCCCGAGGTGGAAAACCTGATCAACTTCATCCTCTGGCTAATATGGGCGCTGATAGTTTTCGGCAATATTCTCGTACTCGTCGTCATCACGCGAGACAAGGAGCTGCTGCTGAAACCCGCCAATATCTTCATCCTGAACTTGTCCATCTGCGACCTGTTGGTGGGAGTCGTCTCGATGACGTTCCAGAACATCTGGCGTCTGAGGGGCTTTTGGACCTTCGGGGAGTTCATGTGCAAGGCCTGGTTCATCATCGACTTCACTTCCACCACCCAGTCGGCCTTCGCCATCACCCTGATCAGCTTCGATCGCTTCATGCTGGTCTCCACGGGCCTCAAGTACAAACAGTACATCACCCTCCCCGTCACCTGCGTTCTGATCGTTGTGACGTGGTGTTGCGCTTTCACGCTTAACGCGGTGCCCATCTTGATGTCGGATAAAATCTTTGAACCCTGGGTGGATTACGCCACAGAGTGCGATCTGGCCATTATGTACCGGTTCGCCTACCACCTGGCCACCTCCATGCTGTCCTTTGTCCTTCCCGTCATACTGGTTGCCCTGTTCAATATCACCGTGTACAACAACATTCGCCAGAGGGCGAAGCGGTTCCAGAGCACTCGCTCCAGGACTTCCAACAGCAGCACTCGCGGCAGCCAAGGACGCAGCACGTCAGACTACAAGAAGCACCGCAAAGCGGCCATCACCCTCGCCTTGATTGTTGGTGTGTTTCTGATCTGCTGGGTGCCCTACTGGATCCAGCAGCTGCTTTTTCTCTTCACCTTGGGCCATCATAGTACCTTCTTGGCCTCTGATGCCTGGGCCTATCTACTCTGGTCCAACAGCGCCGTCAACCCGGTCCTGTACGCCGTGACTAACCCGCGCATCAGGTCAGGAATGCTGTACATTCTGCGCAAGCCCTTGCCCAAGAGGTTTGCCGCGCGGGCCAGGCAGCGACGGGCAATGGAATACAACCTGGGCGAGACCAACATGACCAAGATTACCAGACAGGACGGGGATTAAGGGGGCTGAAGGCGCACAAGATCTCCCACTCCGTCTGCTGAGAGAGTCGGCGGATCAAGCCCGCGGAACGGGACCCGCCTGGCAAGACCGACTGGAGCTGAAACGATAAATCGACGGAGGTCTCGGTTCAGGTGAGGGTCCATAGCTGGGGAAAAGGGTTTCCATACCAAGAATAGAAGGCACACGTGCCTTTAAATACATCACGATTGACCAATATTTCCATTTTGTATAATACTTCACTCCCTTTACATGCACTTTTCAGACTGATTCACCTTAGAGCCGGTGTCCATAATTATAACCACCTGTTGCTTTCAAAGGCATATAGGATCACTTGCGTTTCGTACATTTTGTTCGTTTCCAAATATATCACAACTCGAAATTCAAAGATAGCTGTTCAAAGCCTAACCTTTTGATATTTTAGTGGCTATTGCACTTTTCGAGAAAACAGTTAAAACCACGAACAACCTTTTGATCACGAAACGCGATTTCGTCAGTGGCACTCTTTATTGCAAATGTCAGTCAAATGACTGATCGTTGTGAATTACGTACATTTCTTGATTTCTCCGAAATGACGGCAAGCCGGACGGAATATTTTTAAGTGTTTAATACCTGTACAGTACAGTCTTTTAATCCAACCATAGGATCCAACTAAACTTTTGATAAAAAGAAATCGGTGGGCTACTTTTGGGATAAATGCAAATGGTCCTATACGTCCTTTAAGCATGTCCATAAAACGAAAAGAAAATACTGAGCCAAAGATGAAGACGGTTTAAGCCAAGGACATTAATGCCCGTAAATTATTGACATGGTTAGAAACTGCTTGTATTGTAAAACGACTGAGTGTTTATTTAAGAAATCACAACGTGTAGGATGTACGCCTGTGTGTTATGCACATAAAATTAGTTTTCAACGAAATGCTCGCATTAAACGAACATTCAGTTGAAACGGCGAGTTGGTGTTATGGAAGAAGACAAATATGTCCCATTATTCAAGCTTAAATTTTCTCACGAATCATAGTACGTATGTTGCAATTCTCTCTAGAATCTCTTTTGCCTATACTCGCCGTTTCAATTTGATTATTCAATCGCCCTTCTCCACAATCTGACTGTGAATCCGTGCATTCCTAATGCATTAATTACTGTGCGATTCCGCCTTCTCTGCCATGCTCATGCTTGGACGGTACTCATAATCTATCGTCCCCCTGTGCCCTTTGTTTCGATTGAGAGCCATCCATAGCCACAACTTTAATGCAGAAACGCTCAGTCTCGAGTACATGCCCGTCCAGAAAAGGGCAAGCACTATAAGTGGACAACTGTAGTGTCGCTTAGCTCCTTTATGGCACCCAAGGGCATTTTGTAATTACGTGCATGTAGGGAAAAATTATTGCTGTTCCGAAACTGATATAGGGACAAAATGTAACTGCACTTTACAGTATGTGTTTAGCAGTAGGTCTTTACTCTGCCAATGTGTGCCCCTGCCCAAGTCCTTGTGCCAAATTTCTGTTTAATTTATGATGAATCTGTTGTTTAACTTGAACCTACATGTTTGATTTAAGCAACAGCAAGTAGATGTGGCGCCACTCTAATTTGACCCCAAGCACATAACCAATTCACTGGGAAGCCAGACGCGTTAAAGACGTGCATTGGTAATTCATAGGCGCACGAACGTTTAGACTTATTTCAAATTCTGTTTGTGTTTTCGTCGTTGGAAGAGATTGGTGAGAAGCTTCCATAATAGCAATAGTGTAAATGATTCATTTAAAACAGTAGCGGATCTAGAAGGGGGGGGGGGGGAGTTGCAACCGCCCGTTCAGCCTCAATACTAAAATGGGGCCAAAAATAATGAATGGAATGCTTAAGTTTCTAAATGTATTCTCGAATCGGCTTAGAAGCGGGAGAAAGCATCGTAGATTTCGAAAATTTTCGGGGCAAGTTCCCAGACCCTGGTTGTTCCAGAGTGTACTGCTTACAATGCATATGGTTGTTAGTAGGTATAGACCCTTGGCTTACCAGAGCACTTGTGAGTTATGTTCCGGCTGGAATTGTTCTTCAAACTGCGAGAGAACAGTGCAGTGAGATCAGGTGCTGTTGTCTCTATGTAGGGTTAGTATGTAGGGCTCTCTTCTAGACCTTGCCAAGTATCATTTAGCTTGATATCTTGCATTTAATTGCAGTTAAGTAAGTTAATTCATTATGTCACCTTTGCATCATTATTTTTATTTAGTTCTGTTTGGAACATTATTAAGGGAATGTGTGCCTTGTCGGTTTTAAACAATATATTTAAGGCCGGTTGGTGTCTGGATGCTGATGATTACCCTCGCCTTCGGCTCGGGTAATTATCAGCATCTGGTTTTAAACAAAGTGGTTAATGCCGGCCAAGCACATATTTATTCCCGTTCATAAATACCTTTTCGGTAAAACAAAAATCAAAAAATTTCGGTCCAAAAGTCAAAATAGGTAAAAAGTTATAAATGTCCAACAATATTGTTCAACAGTCTTACCTCATGTTTTTCGGGATACCCATCTAGCTATATTATGGTATGTCCAGTCTCGCGAGTCGTCGTAAACAACTCCTTATGTATGGAGATTGGCGCGCGCATCGCGCGTACTGCGCGATGTGGCGCAGAACCCAGCTGTTCTCTGTATTGTGAATTTAGGACTATGAAATACTGCCTCACGTGACGATTGTGAACGTGCACTCAATTAAACGGTCAAAGACACCGGATTTCAAAGGAGTCAACATTTTATGTGACATTGGAAAAGTGTTTAAGACCAGCCAGCCATGTCTTTATCAACCGTTTAAAACCGGCCACACGACGGGCTCTCGACCAATATGCATGGGTAAACTGTCCTAGATATTTATGAATGTCTTTTTATTGCACATTTTTTTCTTCATTTTTTTTTTTTTTTATCTCTGCGCTGCAGTGAACCATTTTGATTGGCCTATCAGATGACCTCTTCAGTCAATATCTGATGTGGCTATTGTTCACAGTTGCACATTATATACACAAAAAAAACTCTAGCAGAGGGTGCCGACTCACCCCTTCACATCAGCCCCCCCCCCGTTTCCTGAATTCTAGATACGCCCCTAAAACCTCTAGATCAGCAGAAATGTCAGTTTACAATCAAACGGATGAAGAGAAGCTGAAAGAAAACGGTAAATGACGGAAGTTTATATTTTCTAACGAACGCTAGAGGGACCACGAGAAATGAAAAAAAAATCTCTCTGCGACAACTTGCTCAAAAACTCACCGCAGCGAAGGAGTAAGCCGTTGCGGCGACCATCTCGCCGTGGTAAGGGAAATAAAACGACAACCGACATCATGGCCGCCTCTGAGATTCATCTCGCTGCAATGTGTTACTATCTCGGCGTGGTGAGATATAGCCCCTTTTTGTCCCCTCTAAGCTTATACCAATAACATAGGCAGTCCGTTATCAAAGGAACAAAACGTTTAACATCATTCAACTTTTTATTGTTTATCGCTCCTCAACCATTTTGACTGAGTGTAGATACCACTGTTGATTCGGAAGGTTTCCCGCCCCTAACACCGAAAACATCACCAAAAGACTTGGACACATACGACCAAGATATTCGTACTTCGGGACCGTACATATTACGCAGTACCGTTTATTCACTTCTCCGCCGAAAATCTATGCTATGCAAAAGCGTGCACAAATTATAGTTTAGTATAAAAGCGTCCATATCGAATTACCGTGAACGACGAGCAAGCTTTATGTGTAGGGCTCTTCAAACGAATTCAAATTCAAATATCCGGGGCATAATGTTACTCATTTATTTTCCCCTGAATTGTATGGGGTTTTCCCCCCTTAGTTTTATTCCTTTTTGTTGTTGTTGAAAAACCAACCAAATCCCACTGTCTGGTGGTTGAGAGACGCGTTAATCACTGCGGGGAAATCAACGGATCGTTCACACACCGATAGGGTTACCAGTGTACACAAGGGAACCAGCTGCTCAAATATTACATGCCTTGACCGTGTGGACCGTCGCTTGCACAGCTCTGAGATTTTACTATCTACGCGTTTCCTCGCATTAGAAATGTCACTCTTGCCGCTATATCTCCGAGCAAACATCGCCCGCCATAATGCGATCAGATCCGGTTGCCGAATATTGAATTCCGTGCTTAAATGTTGTCGTGCCCAACAGCGAAAATGAGATTTCACCGATCTATTTTTGGCCTAGCCGGGTTCTTGTGAATGAAGAATACAGACAATGGTTGTCTTGTTGCTGAACAAACGAACGGATGGACTTGTATTTATTAAAAAAGCAAACACAAGTAAAAGAGTCCGAAATCAAATATATTACGAAAATGAAAACCTGATTTTCGTTTCATGATTTTTTTATGAGCAAAACAGTGATAGCGTACTGCCCGTTAAATGCGATCGCTGCATTCCGTTCATGCGTTCAATCGATAGCGTAATCGTCCATTAATAGTGTTTATATTACAATGATGTCACTGCCAAATTGAGAGTGCGGTAGGTACTCGCTGACGCCTATTTGCGTGACCAATTAAGACTAAGTACCCGAAGATGAATATGCAGGCAGAACGAAAGCAGGCCAGCGGGAGAATGATGCCGGCGCGCCTGGTGTGCAAACTTGGCTCCGATCTTTGATTGGTCGGTTTCTGCTGACGCGCTCATCCGTTGATGTATACAAGATATTACGATGCGGTATTAAACTAGTGGGCGAAGAAAATTAGACAGATGACAGAAGTCATCCGGCGAGCTGGGGATGATGATTAAAACAGACCGCCCTCTTCCGTTGATTAGCGCTACGCTCCAGTGTTCGTTCGGATTGCTGGGCTTAAAAAGGCGCGTCGACGTCGACGCGGCCGGAATCGAGGTCGAAGCACAATGAGCGGAGCAGTCATGGTGACAACACCGCGCTGGGAAGGGCTGGCGATGATGAGTGCTTCGCCGCAAGCGAGTAACGAGCCGTTCGGGACCACGGAAAACTCAACCTCGCTGCACAGTGATGATGATGGGGACGGGGGTGGGTACATGAGCTACGATGTCTACGATGTCTTCCCAAGGAGGCCGCTCGAGGTGGAGACCTTGATCTCAGTGATACTCTGGCTCATCTGCTCTGTCACAGTCATCGGAAATGTCCTCGTGATTTCAACCTTTGTCCGGGACAGGGAGTTGCGGCTGAAACCGGCCAACCTGTTTATCTTGAATCTCTCCGTGTCTGATCTACTGATCGGCCTGATCTCGATACCCTTCTTCAACGTCTGGCGTCACACGGAGATGTGGCTAGCGGGCGAGGTGGCCTGCAAACTGTGGAACATCGTGGACTACACGGCCACCACCCAGTCGGCGCTGGCTATCGTGCTGATCAGCTTCGACCGCTACATGCTGGTGTCTAAAGGTCTGCAGTACCGGAAGTACATCACGCTCAGGTTGACCCAGGGCCTGATCGTAACCTCCTGGGTGTTTTCATTCAGTCTTAACTCCATTCCCATCCTGTGCTCCGACATCGTTCTGGAACCCTGGGTGGAGTACAACCAAGACTGCGACTTCGCTATTCTTTACCAATTTTCCTACAAACTGACCACCGCCATGTTCTCTTTCGTCATCCCTTTGATCTTCCTCTCCATCTTCAACATCATCGTCTACAACAACATCCGTGCGCGGTCCCGTGGCTTCAATCGGGGTCGTTCCTCCGGACTAAACAGCAGTGTCGCCATAGCTCGCAGCAACAGCTCTCAGAGTAGAGGCAGCAGCGAGTACCGGAAACACCGAAAGGCGGCCATTACCCTCGCCTTGATCGTCGGGATGTTCCTGACGTGCTGGTTACCCTGGTACGTCTACAAGCTGGCAATAATTGACAACGAAGCCGCAGAGAATAGGGACCTGATGGATGGTTTTATCTATTTGCTCTGGGCGAACAGTGCCATCAACCCGTTTCTGTACGCTGCCACCCACCCCCGGATTCGCGCCGGACTCATCGCTCGCATCATGTGCTGCGTGCCGCGAAACTGCCGGCCGGTCAGGGTCAGGGGTGGATCGCGGTCCAACTCGGATGACCCAAACGCGCAGACAGACCGAGCCAGACATCGGACCATCACACAAGGATTGACTACTTGTTACAACGAAGACCAGTGCAATAACCAAGGATCAGCCGTTTGAACCGGGTTAGTCAACAAAATAGAACATGGTTTAAACTTTTCGGTACACTAGTTAGTCTTTAACTGACTATTACGTTAACTGTACTTTAAAACCGCTCATTGAATTTGTCGAGATAAGAAATATACTTATGTACACATTAGTATGCGAAATCAGCCAAAGCAAACATTAACTCTTACCAATTCTGCCCCACAAACGTTTTTCGTTTGATGGATTAGAACAAAAATATACATTTCCTTTAAAAAAGGTCTCCCTGGCAATATTTCAGCCAATATCACAAATTTTCAAGCTGAGTTTGCATGATTTTTATTCTGATGCCTTGCGCATGTTTGGGCATCGATTTCATAACATTCGGACGTGCCGTTCTCGCAAAATGGTCAATTTTCGAACCCCAAAAGAAGACTTTTTTCCCATTGACACTGCCGTGTGCATGAAAGGCTTGCAGCGTACATTATGCATACGATAATTTCAATTGTTTTTTCTTTTGATGCAAAAAAAAAGCAGACGTAAAAACCATGGATGATTATTGTCAACGTTCGTCATGGGAAAGCCGAGATTGTAGTACATGACTTCCGCCCCTTGGCTCGAGATGGTTAAAACAGGCTCTTAGAGAAAAACTCGCAGCCTTTTGCTTTCTGTATAACATTTTATGATGGAACAGAAAAGACATAGGGCCTACCATTGTATTTATCGTATGCTTCTGTATCTTTCTAAGCCCATTACAAAGAAAATGTGAAGCTACAAAATTCCAAAACGCTAATTATTTCATTAATTACATGTATGTCACAATCAAATGTCACCTTCTTTAAAATGATGCGTCCACATTAAGCAGAGGGCATTTGTTCATTACTTATGTGACAATAACAGTTTGCTTTGAAGTCGGTCGTGAGCATCGTCGGTCTTTTCAGCAGCTTAGTATACAGGGTGAGTCAAGAATATAAAGGAAACCCAGATGGCAGGACCACTTATTTAATGAAGTTCTATATGTAGCACTTTCAAAATCTAGGAAATGAAAGCCCAATTAATAAGCTTTCTCTTAGTACAAGTATCATTCGAATCACTCGTGTACTTTTTTATTTACGGAATTTTGAACACAAACACCGTTTTGAAGTTTTTTCCACGGATCACAAAAAAGGCTAAGTGCTCTTTCAGCAAAACGAAATCAATTCACATGTATTTGAATTGTTTTCGTTTTGCCGTTACAACACTTACTTTCTTGTGATCCGTGGACAGAACTTTAAATGGTGTTTGTGTTTAAAATTCCGTAACCAGAAAATGTACATGAGTTATTTCAATGACTCTTGTACTAACAGAAAGCTTATAATAAATTGGGCTTTTATATCTTAGATTTTGAAAGTACTATATGCAGAACTTCATTCAAAACAAAAAATTGTCCTGACATTTGGGTTTCCCTTTTTTTTTTACACACCCTGTATTACTTGTTTATTGATATGATACCCTTGATAACATTGCCCTTTTTTCCCGTTTAATCGAGTGAGCACCAATCACAGTTTCATGCTGGCACAACATGCCTGCAGCAACTTTTTAGTTCAATCGAACCACACTGTCCTTTTGAATAGCATTTCCAAGAAGGTTGCCTAAAAATCAATGTTTGCTATACATTTACTCATTCACAGCTAGATTTACCTGGCAGTAAAATACGGGGCATGTTGCTCGTAAGACATAAATTACCTCAGTATGTATCTTATATTGAAACATTTGTTTTATCTTATAAGTACGTTGATATAATTGTCAGGATCATAATTTCAGCACCTGTCGAACCATTTAGCGATGACGGCAGAGTGTGTGCACGTTTCGTTCACGTGCAAAATTCCTTACTCGTTACTGTATTCGCATTTCAAATGCTAATGAACCACACAATCATCTGGAATTTTCACGGGTTTATGAAACGCGTTGTTCACTTGCCTCCGCCTTATATGTATGTAAATTATCGCCATAAATAGCGCCGGTATTAGATTATACTGCACCTGAATTTACTTGACATTTCGATATTTTTCTGTCACGCGCCTGGCATCAGTGGAAGTTCTCAATTCGATCACTGTGCCAATGCAGCTGTAGTCGGGCTCCGTGTGCTGAGGTTAGAATTGTTGCATAAATGTCCATGGTGCGATTCCGACTTGTTTTCTCAGTGAATTTACTCCTGCACTCTCAGAAGTCCCGGGTCAGTTTCGACCGACATCCGGGTCAGATTTGACCCGACATTCTTCCGGGTCGAAATAAGACCTCTCTGAGTCACATATCCGGGCCTTTTGACCTTTAAACAAAATGCATATTGACACTCTCGCACACAATATATTTTTTACTACGAAAGGTGACTTTTTCTTACACGGAAAATGCCATTTTTGACCCCGTAGAGGGTGTCAGGTCAAATCTGACATGGATTCCGGGTCGAATCTGACCTGATACTCTTAAGAGTGTACCACAAGTTGACACACTGTTTAAATTCAAAAGTGCAGGCCTTATATACCCGAACACAAAATTTGACACCAGATACAGAAAAACACGCACGGGTTGCTGTGATTATACAGAACCAACTTTGGTGTTGCCATGCATCATGCACGACTCCCCCCCCCCATATTTTTTCGGTTGTGTTGGCTGTGCAAGGATGAAATTAAATGACGGTGATTTTGATGGATTCCTATCCTGTAAATCACATCCGTTGTGTTACTTATTAACGAACTTTTCTCCTAATTGCGATCACCTGCCACTCGTAAAACTGACCAAAGTTCGGTCCTAAATTCAAATGTTGTTATGCTCATTTGTCATCCCGATGCGTTGCTTTGTGGTAACTTTCCAGACATTCTTACCTTTTTTTCAATGGTCGTTAGGCGTACGGGACTTCACCACAGTGTTTGCGTTGGCTCGTTTTGAGCTTCACCATGAGGGTCTTTAAGCTTGTGCTTGAATCGCTAACTGTATTCATTATGGTGTCGAACCCCTTTTTTTGGCGCGAACAAATGGCGCTAATATTTGCCGGAAACAAATATAATCCCCGTGTTTCCAAAAATACTGACAGGCACATTGGCGCTAAAAATGGTTTCATCCGGCTAACTGCTGTCTGTTCTCCTCTTATTTTGTGTGTGTGTGTGCAATTGTGGAGAGACAGAGAACATTCCTGTTGCAATATTCCAAAATTCAATAGGGACCCATCTGTGGCTTTGTGCTAGATTCCCCGTTTTCTCGAAAGGGAGTTCTAATTTTAGTTGCCTTCATCCACCAATCCTGTTCACAGCGTCGTTGTCGCAGCCTGGATGAATGGGGGAGAAAATGCCAAATGAAGATGTGAAGTGAATAGAGACATTTGCCTTGGGATCGTTCACAACTACTCACTCTCCGCAATGATCAGAGACAGAACTGAGTGATTTGCAGCGTCGAAAACCCTCGCCACATATAAAGGAAATCCCTGGATGGGATATTGCGGTGCTTTTCAACGCCTTTTCATTTGTTCTTTATCACATTTACCAATTTCAAGATGGTATTTTACGACCATCCTCACTGTCAATTTCTTCACCGATATTCACCAGATTCTTCTCCTCCAACACACAATAATATCTACCACGGCATAGATTATTAATTCCGGTATAGTGTTGCAGATTGACCTGTAATTTTCCCCCTCTTGTTTCTTGTACCATTTTGCAACTTCAAAATATTTGATCGTCATCATCTCGATCCATTTCTGCCCCATTATACGTCTGTTATTTTCCTTCATCACAAATTACTACCTCGGCAATAAATTACTGAAACTCCGCGGTTTCTGTGTTGCCCAAAAAATGACCTGTAATATTGTTCTCCTCCATGTCAGAATACCGCCAACGTCGCGTGTTGATTAAGAATTTAATGCAATCATTCTCGGTTTGTCGTCAGGCCGCCGACTCGCAGGATTGACTTTTTCTCCCGCCAGCCAGCTGCCCGGCCGAGCGCATCCAAGATGCAGCTCAATACGCCTGACTTGTTTCATAATCCCACCAATCTGTGACTCCCAAGATATGCTGGTTTACGATATCGGACGCGTTAATATCTCTCGGTCCTCTCGGCGCGTCGATACCGCCGGCGCCTCTTCACGAACACGACCCTTCTACCGCTCCCATTTTAATAGTTGACTTAGCTATACCTACGCTCCGGACATATTCAACCTCTTAACAACCTCAATATTTTTTTTCTTCACGTAAATGTATTATTGATTTCACCCCTGACTGAATCAAGACGCGAAGCCGAAGCGGGCCAGACCGACGACTGACGTTTCGTAATCCCGATCTCCCGCCAAAATCGCTACAATGTTGTCTGTATTGGAGTGCGTGTTACCGATTGCTTCACGCCGCCAGTTTGCAAGGAAAAAACAGTCAATTAAGTTATTCTCATTTTTTTCTTACTGAGATAAATTTATCACGGAACAACCTACACGCAGTACATGTTCGGACACGTTCCCGTCCTGAGTGCATACTAACTAGTATTGATTTTAGCACATGGAAATCTCAGCGTCTACGTATCCAATAATGTCGCCAGCAGAGCTGTATTTTTTTTTATTCTCTTCAATCAAATACACCTTTGAGATTAATTCACCCTTTTAGATCTGTTTATTCCATCATTTGTTGTTACCGATACCAAGCGCAAACAAATGACATGAAAAACACACACCATTCGCCCGTATTTTGTGTTACTGGCTTCACGCAGAACCTGTCAAATAACCCAACCGTTACATTGACATTTAAAAACAATTGATAACGAAATTGAATTGCACGACAATTTATTCATTACTTTATGACTAATACATATTATTTTTTTTCAGTCAGTCCAAGAGACGCGTTTGCCCTTAAATTATAGATAGCCTCTAACCATTGAAGCCTATATGAAACCATACTATAGGCAACATTAATCATTACGCTATTGAAAGAGTGTGTTGGCTTTCAATACAACATTATGCTGAATTATGAAAGATTAAAGTGAATGAAATATTTAGAAAATATTATAAAATGCATCATGAAGCATATGGCCAATGGAAAAGACAATTCATCAATATGAAAAGCAGCGAGTCAGCATAAATATCAAGCCAGAGTATGGGCCTGTGCTTTTTTCACCAACCTGCATTAATTACTGAGATTTATTGCAGAGAGTGAGTGGTGTCTGCGCGCGGATGATTGGAAAAGAACTGAATATCGGTCACACTTGGAAACCCCCTAAGCTTATTTCATCATCTTTCATTTTCTGTTACATTTTTTGGGAGTCAACTGATGACTTTTGGGAGAAATTTCCATCCGAAGATGATTACCCCTTAAAATAGTCCCGAAGCCCATCGCCATTTTGAAAAACGATGCCTACACTCCATTGCAAAATAGAGCGCTTTTAGGGCCCCAATTTGATCCAAATTGCACAGAACTACAAGCTCACAGTCCAGTGCACGGCTTCCACCCATATTTTTTTACCAACCCCTAGTTCATGGCCCACAGTATGCTCAAATACTGAAGATTTTGAGGGCATGCAAATCGTGATTTGGCCGGTGTAGGCAATTTCGGACCGATTTACTGGCCTGCACCCCTAAACCCATAAAAAGGAGCAATAGACTTGGCTTGAAGTGGGCCAGCATCCACACCATCATATCAGCCATGGAGAGGAATGGGGGGGGGGGGCGGACAAACACGCACCAGTCGACCGTGACTAAACATGACTTCGCCACGGTACCCGCCCAAAATATTAAAAGGTGCGGAGTTGCACTTCGGTAATAGAATCTCTGCGCGCTAGGCTTGGGCTCCGCGCATCGGCGGAGTGTTTCTTGTTAAAGTGATTGCCCCGATACGTTCGCACCATTTCCTGTGTCCTATACACCGGATCCGATTGACTTGCCTAAAGACCCATCCTCGCTTACTTAATTTTATTTCCAGTGGGACTTGGGAAACCGTCTTTTTTTTG